GGCACCCCTCGCTTAATACACTCTCCTTGCACCCTCCTATAGCCATTCTCTCTCTCTTTCTCTTTGTTCTTTGCGACAGTCGATTGAAAACGAACAGCGTAAATGCCGGGCATTTCTACCGTGCAATAAATATGCCGCGAATTCGTCGTAAATATTCATGCCTCCCCGGTTTCTCTCTTCCGCGATATGCTTTTTGATAGACACGCGTTCCATTAATTGTTTCGTCCTACAAAATAAAAAAATAGCAGAAAGACGAAGAAACAATAATGTGAGATGTGATATCAAAGCGAAAATTGAATAATGTAGAACGTTGAAACGCTGTACAAATTGATACAAATGTAAGAGAGTATCAAAATAAATGACAAACAAACGTGTGAAGATCAGTGGCTTTTATACGATGAATTTGACATTCAATGAGATTATTTAACGTTTCATCGTTCCATTATTCATTTATACATATAATAAAGTAGAATTAATTAACGACTGCTGTCGACGATCTCATTTCGAAAGATAAAGTCATTCTTGAATTCTTCTTCAAGTATAATAAAAATTTATGAATGTAATTTCTAAATCCATAAAGATATTCAGAAATATTTTATGCCGCAAATTATCCGAAAACACAGTTTAATTTCGTTATGAACGAAAACCCGAAAGATGTATTTAATAATAGGCGGGCGAAATTCGCGTGTTAAATCTCGAAATAAGATCGTCACAAGCATTTCCACTTTATGGTAAAATGACCTCGCGCCGAGCAGACACCCCGAGCTCGCGAGCTCGCGTCCGGAAAGGATGTCACGGTATGGAGATGCGGACGCAGCGAAACGTTCGTACCGATAGAATATGCATGAAGATGAACGTGAGTGCCCCGGTGTGGTTCTCGCGAATACAAAAATATCGCGATAGCTCGCTCCCCCGCATCCCCCGCATCCCTCCGCGTCTTTCCTCGCCGGCGAGATCCGCGCGATCCTCGCCGTGTCTTTTGCGCGCGCGCGAAATGAGAACACGAATGAATGGTGATAAGGCAGAGCGTACGTACGTTACGTACCTTTCAGGTGTTTCGGGCAGCATACGAACTCGACGCCGGAGAACAGAGATATGCCGCATGGCAGCAACATCGCGAAGCTACGCAGATTCATGTTTCGCTCCCGGCAGGTCTCCGCCGCCGTGGCATTCCATCTGGAATCACGTGAATCCACTTGATGCAGTCACGTGCATTCGAGTAAGCGCGCTCCCGATCTACCGGGACGCGATAAACGGACCCGCCGATAACGATTCGCGATCTCCACCGACGTAAAACACGCGTAAAATACGCGCGTTAATCCGCGCGGTGGATGGTTGCCAAGCGGCTAGGGTTCGCGTCAATCGTTAGCCAAGTAATTAAAATATCTTCGTCGTTAGTTTTAATGAAGTAACGGAATAATAAGATGAAATGATGAGCAGATACGGTGAAGCAAAAAAAATTTGAGATGCCGATAAAAAGCTTATTCTCCCTATAAAAATCCGCGTTAATAAATATATATATAATTAATAATAAAAAGCTGACGCGTTAACTGCCGGATCAAATGTCGAGTGTACGTTTACGTTTCTCGCGGAGGTTCTCGCACGCAGACGAAATGTGCTTAAGTTATTCTTCCGAATTGCTTGAATTGCGAAACGCGACATTACAAATCTAAGCTCGCTCGAATATTAATTTCGTTTGGCGCGGGGGTATATTCGTGCGTGTATGCGCGCTCGTTACCTGTGAGACTCCCAGCATTTTGTTTGATTATGAAGATGATCAAAGAGACAGCCCTCTGGCACGAGAAGTGCGTCGCTCTGGAAGGGTCCCTCTGAAAGTAGGAAACGGTACATATTGCAGTGGCTCGAAAATTCAAGGAAAAGCTCGATTAAACTGGTAAAGGTCGCGCATCGCCGGTATTTATTCTTATTCGCTATTTCCGACCG